GGGCTTATGAGGGGACTTAGGACGGGTGGACGTATTTCAGCATCGTTGATGAATCTTGGGTTTGCTCTGGTTCTCCTCCTCCTCCCTCTTCCCTGTTTCGGCTCCTCCTTACCTTCCTTTCCCCCCCTCCTCTCCTCCTGCTCCTGCTCTGTCTTCTCGTCGCCGCTGCCGTCGCCGCCGTCGCCGTCGCCGCCGCCGTCGCCGTCGCCGTCGCCGTCACCGTCGCCGTCACCGTCGCCGTCGCCCTCACCGTTGCCGTTGCCGTCGCCGTCGCGGTAGCTGTCGCCGTCTCCGTCGTCGTCGCCGTCTCCGGCGCCGTCACCGTCGCCGTCGTCGTTGTCGTTGTCATCGTCGTCGTCGCCACCGTCGTCGTCGCCGTCGTCGTCGCCGTCGTCGTCGTCGTCGTCGTCGTCGTCGTCGCGTCGTCGCCGTTGCGCCGTCGCCATTGCCGCCGTCGTCGTCGCCGTCGCCGTTGGAAGAAGAGGGACAGACGGCTCCCAGGCGGGGTCTTCGTGGATATCCCTGAGCTGGAGGCCAGCGTCTGGCTCCTCTTCGCCGGTCGGCGCCTTGGCCTCGCGGCTCGCCGGCGCCTCCAGCCAGGGAGGAGGAGGAGGATGAGGATGATGAGGAGGACGAGGTCGATGAGGGGGAGGAGGAGGAGGAGGAGGAGGAAGAGGAGGAGGAGGAGGAGGAGGAGGAGGAGGAGGAAGAGGAGGAGGAGGAGGAGGAGGGGAGGAAGGAAGGGTCAGTCAGGGGCAACCCTGTGGGAAGTGGGGCGGGCGCAGAGGGGGTACGGCAAGCTAGGTGCGCTCGCGCCCATCTGACATCGTGGCATGGCCAACCTGCAGCGCCAGCCAAAAGACTACATCGTGTTACGCACAGTCGGGAAAAGGGGAGCTGCGTGCACAGGAGGAGGAGGAGCAGGAGGAGGAGGAGGAGAAGGAGGAGGAGGAGGAGCGGGAGGACAAGGACGAGGAAGAACAGCAGCAGCTGGAACTGGAGTGGAAGGAGCGGGAGGAACAGGAGGACCCGGGGAAGGCGGAGGAGGGGAAATGAGGGGGGGGCGGCGACAACACTGAAGAAAGACTCGGATCCAGAAAAGTGGCCCGCACTGGGGCGAGAGGGTCGCCATTCTGAACGACGGGAGGAGATCGTCGATCCGAAAATGAGGCCCACGCTGCAGCGGAGACATTTTTTGGAAACACCCAGATCAGCCAGATTGCAACACTCATGTTTTTCAAATCTGGTTGAACAATGCACGCGGAGAGGGCCTGCCATCTTCTGGACAACTTCAGGGGAAAGAGGAGAGGAGTAATCCTATCGTCTAACTGCTCAGGATCTTTGGCTTAGCGCGTCGCTCGGCCGGTTCTGGCCGACCACGCTTCGGCGCGACACGCTATCCACGTTCCAGTCCCCCAGCGTCAACGTCCCGAATGGTTCTCCACCTGCCGCCCCGCGGAGCGGAGCGACACGCCATCCGCTCGCAGGGCATAGCGTGCCGCCAGGGCCGCCGCTGCGAGACGCGAAGCAAAGGTTCCAGACAGCGCAGCTCCCCCCACGGATCGCTGCGGGGGGGGGCCCGGTAGCCCACCCCGCTCAGAAGCGTGCGGCTTCGTTACCGGGGGCCTATCGCCAACCGCCTCTGAGCCAGTCCCTCCCCGCCGACCCCCTTCGGCCAGGCCGTGCCAAGGGGGGGCACCACCAGGCCAGGGGGGTCGCCGGCTCCTTCTGGTGAGCGAGGTTCGAGGATCGATGGGTTTGTTTGGGTGATTTTTTCAAGCGTTTTGAGAAGGTCTGGGGGTTTTGGGGGGGTCCAGTGGGGATCCTCCTCGAGCAGGGTGGCGGCTCCTCTGGGGGCGACCCCCCGTGGGGTTTGCGTGAGGGGGGCAGAGCGGGAGGGACGATCGAGGTGCGCGCGCTCGCTCTCTCCCAGGCCACAGCTCACCTCATGAGTTTGCCGATCGCAGGCGGGCTCGTGGGTTGCTCACGGTTCGCCTGGCGAACCTTTGCATCGCATGGCGGTTGAGGTCGTGTAGTGTGAAGGTCGTTCGTTTTTTATGGGAGGGAAAGGGGGAGGGGCGATCAAGATGTGAGAATGTTTTTCGTAACTTTGTGGGCTTCCGGCGGGCCTCTTGCCGCCAAGGCTGGAGTCCCCTGCCAAATTCGGGTCAACGCGCAACCCAGGACAGGTGTGGAGGTAGATGTTCGAGGGAAGAGTGGGCAAACAAAGGAAGAACAAGATAGAGTCTGGAGGCAGGAACAGCAAAAAAAGAGGAATACAGAGAAGGCCTCCTCCTCCTCCTCCTCTTCCTTCGATCCTCCTCCTCCTCCCCCTCCTCCTCGTTGTTTTGAGCCATGATTTGATCCACTTCCCGAGAATCTCGGCAGTGGGCCTCGGCTTTGTGACCGGGGGTGCATTGCTGGCAAGCAGAGTGTGAATCGTGAGGAACTCTTGGCCCGTTCTAGGTTTTTGGATGAGGCGCCGCCTGGGGCCCGTCTGGGGAATGTGGCGGACTCGGCTTGTGTCGCCCGAGGCTTTGCCAAGATCCAGGATGGCGCCCCCGCCCGACTGTTAACCCATCTTGATTTGTGGACGCAAATTGCCTCGTTCCTCGGAGAGTAGGACCACGTTCTTCTGCATATTCGTATACAGCTTAAGAATTCGGAGGCTTTGACGCGAGGATTCGATCCAGGCTTTGTTGCGGCAAACGCTATCGCCGGCAAGTTTGCTTGACGTTTCGCGGACGAGCTAAACATGCCCTAATTATGCTGCTTCGGCCTGAGTTAGTCTTGCTGGTGCCGTCACCCGTACGTGTCAAAATCATCATGGGGGCACGGCCTCCTCGGCCACATGTTGTGTAAGTGCGATTTTCTGCTCGGCAAAGGTTGGCGCGCCTCGCGGTCGCCACGGAGCACACCCGTTCCATTCTTTGCCGTGGTTTCTCTCGGCGCACCTCCGAGTTCCAGCCTTCTTGAGCACTCCCTGCCGTCCGATGGAGTGGAGCCATGTTTCGCCCCTCGTCCCTAGTCTGGGTCCGCGGCAGGGGGGTGCACGTTAGCCGTGACTCTGCGTTCCGCCCTGGGCATCATCTGTTTCGGTGCCTCACTCTGTGGGGCCTGCAGGGCTCAGCAGCTGATCAGGGCAAGCCCCGCTCCCGCCGCCTCCGAACAGGTGGGGGCCTAGAGCCTCGCTCGCATTTGCCACGGGGTCGGTGTCCAGGCCGTGTGCCTGGGGGCGGGGCAGGATCGGACGGGGCTAGGACGAGCATAAGCCCGTTCCAGAGCGCTCAGGAACGTTTTCAGACCGCTCCAGAACGCTCTGAGGAGGCCGCGGCACCCGAGACATCTTCCATACTTGCCAGATCTCAGAGGTTCTCGATTCATCCTCACCCGATTTGATCTTCCTTCTGGCTTTGTCTTAGAAGGAGGGCCTGAGCGAGCGAGCTGCGGGAGCACGGCAGGAGTGCCCCCCCCCGCCGCCGCCCGCGGCCGCTCCGACGGGCCCCCCCCGCGACATCCGTCGGAGGCGCGCCTCCACCTCGCCTCTCTCTCGGTCCGCTTGGCCTGGTGGCTGGGACCCTTCAGAGGGCCGTGTCCTTCCATCCTCCGAGGGGGTCCACGGCATCCCAGGGTCGCCCAAGGGGCCCCCGGGAGGGTCCTCAAGGGGCCCCAGGGCACCCTGGTACACACACATACGCAGACAAAAAACAAGACATGATGGGAAGACACAGTAAGGTTTGTCTTCCGAACCCGTAAGTTTTTTGTTATGTTTTGTGTCTTTTTTGCTGTTTGGGGGGTCCTGGGGGTTCTTTGGGTCTCTCGGGGCCCTCTTGGGATGTCTTGGGGGATCGGGGAACACTTCCTGGCATGGTGGCGAATGTGGTGGATTTCGTGAGGTCAAGGGCGCTACCCAGGTCAGGCGTCTCACATCAGTGCTCATTGATATCGCTTTCTCTCTCTATACCTCTCCCCAACTTCATCTGAGGAGGAGGAGGAGGAGGAGGACGATGATGCTGATGATGATGCTGCTGATGCTGATTATGATGATCGGTATGATTATGAGGATGATGCTGATGATGCCGATGATAATGACAACGATGATGCTGGTGATGATGATGATGATGATGATGATGATGGTGGTGGTGGTGGTGGTGGTGGCGGTGGTTGTGGTGATGCTGATGCTGATGATGCTGATGCTGGTTGTGGTGGTTGTGGGTGTGGTTATGGTTGTGATAGTGTTTGTGGTGATGACTACGATGTGGATTACCACGATGATGCTGATGATGACGCTGATGATGGCGTGAAGGAGGAGGAGGAGGAGGAGGAGGAGGAGGAGGAGGAGGAGGATAAGGGAGGGGGCGGAGGAAGAGGAGTAAGAGGAGGTGGAGGAGGGGGACGAGGAGCAGGTGGAAACTCCCCTCCGTTTCTCGTCATTCTCTGTGTGATACCCATCCACCTTCTCCATTCCTCCTCCCCCTTCCTTCTCCTCATCTGCTCTGCGGGATACGGTCAATCTGCATAGTAAGGATGAGCTATTTTCCAAGGTTATCCTTGCATCCTTCCCCTTCGGCCCATCCTTGGCCGCTTCCGCTGGCCGCGCCCCGCTCGCCAAGTGTCGACATGCCCTTCCAAGGCCCTTGCATCCTCACCTCGCATCCTTATGAGACGGGTTGACTGTATAACCTTCTCTGATCTCTTTTTGGGGGGAGTGTTACTGCTCTCTGCGGGGTACGGGTGGACGCACTCCTCTCCCCCCTTCCCTCCTCCTGCGTGCCTTCGGGTCGAGGAGGAGCCTCTGGCATCCTCTGGCGTGCTTCTCCGCTGGTGCGTAGGCCGTCGAAGGCCGCCGACGGCCACCGACGGCCGCGGACTGCCGCCGAGGGCCGCCGAGGGTCTCCGCGGGCCGCCGACGGCCGCCGCGACCCGCCGATGGCCTTCGGAGGCCGCTGGAGGCCGGCGGTGGCCTCAGAGGGTCCCTCCCGTGCCCCGAGGCCGGGGCGATGGCGGACGCCCTGGGGTACTGGTGCGAGCTGCGGCCCCTGGGGGAGGACGGGGAGGACGTCCCGGCCCAGAGGGGAGGAGGGGAGGAGGGGGAGGAGGAAGGAGGAGGGGGAGAGGAAGGGCGGCCGAGAGGAAGAGTGGTCGGAAGTTGAAGAGGGAGGGAAACGGGGGGAGGAGGGGGAGGAGGAGGAGGAGACGGAGGAGGAGGCGTGGAGGGAGGAGGAAGAGGAGGAGGAGGAGGAGGAGGAACATGATGATGATGATGCTGATGATGATGATGATGCTGATGATGACGGTGGTGGTGATGGTTGTGGTTGTGATGATGATATTGTCGGTGATGATAATGCTGATGACGATAATGGCAATGCTGATGGTGACGACGACAATGATGATGATGCTGATTCTGATGATGATGATGCTGATTCTGATGATGACGATGATGATGCTGCTGCTGCTGATGATGATGATGCTTGTGATGATGATGACGATGAGGACGATGGTGATGACGATGACGATGACGATGCTGGTGACGATGCTGTTGATGATGATGATTATGGTTATGCAGATGATGCTTATGCTGATTCTGATGATGACGACGATGACGATGACGATGATGAGCATGACAATGCTGGTGGTTGTGGTGGTGGCGCTGGTGTTGATGATGAGGCTGCTGCTGTCAACGATCCTGATGGCGATCACGATGCCGACGATGATGCTGATGATGATGATGATGATGATGATGCTGATGATCAAGGTGATGCCGAATCTGACGATGCTGATGACAATGATGATGATACTGCTGTTACTGATGATGCTGCTGCTCATGATGATGATGCTGATGACGCTGACGATGACGACGATGACGATGATGGTGACGACGATGAGGATGATGATGATGAGGATGCTAATGATGATACTGATGCTGACACTGATGATGATGCTGATAATGACGATGTCGCTGACGATGGTGGTGCTTCCTCTGCTGATGATGATGATGACAACGGTGATGGTGATGGTGATGGTGATGCTGGTGATGATGGTGATGATTATGACGACGATGACGATGATGGTGATGATGCCGATGATGAACCTGATGCTGATGCTGATGCTTTGCTGCTGATGATGAAGATGATGCTGATGATGCTGATGCTGATTATGATGTGGATGATGATAACGATGCTGATGCTGATGCTGATAATGCTGATGATCACGCTGACCATGGCGATGACGATGATGCTGCTGCTGATGACGATTCTGTTGATGCTGCTGCTGATGATGATGCTGATGATCATGATGATACTGATGATGATGCTGATGATGACGATGATGATGATGATGATGATGATGCTGCTGAGGATCATAGTGGTGACGATGATGATGCTACGGACGATAATGAGTATGATGATGTCGCTTCTGCTGCTGATGCTGATGATGATGACGAGGATGATGATGATGCTGATGATGCTGATGATAGTGATGATGATGCTGATGATGATGCTGATGATGCTGATGGTGATGATGGTGATGCTGATTTTGATGACGATGACGATGCTGATTCTGACGAGATTGATGATACTGATATTTTTGATGCTGATGGTGATGCTGACGATCATGACGAGGACGATGACGATGATGATGATGATGATGATGATGATGATGATGATGATGATGATGCTGATGATGATGATGATGATGATGATGATGATGATGACGGTGATGGTGATGGTGATGGTGCTGGTGGCGATGATGGTGATGATTATGACCCCGATCGATGAGGATGATGCTGATGCTGATGCTGTGGTTCGGATGATGAAGATGATGCTGATGATGATGCTGATGGTGATGATGATCCTGATGATGCTGATGATGACGATGATTTCGACGATGACGATGACACTGCTGCTGATGATGATCATTTTGATGCTGCGGCTGATGATGATTATGCTGATAATCATAGGGATGATCATGACGATCATGATGATGCTGATGCTGCTGCTGCTGCTGATGATGATGATGATGATGATGATGATGATGATGATGAGGATCATGATGCTGATATGGCTCGCGATGGTGATAAGGACGATGATCAATGTGATGATGCCGCTTTTGCTGCTCCTGATGATGATGATTCTGTTGCTGATGGTGGTAATGCGGATGATTGTGATGATGAGGATGCTGATGATGATGATGCTATTGATGACGATGATGATGATGATGATGATGATGATGATGATGATGATGATGATGATGATGATGATGATGATGATAAGGACGATGATACATAGGATGCTGCCGCTTCTGATGCTGTTGCTGAGGGTAATTCTGATGATTGCGAGGATGGTGATGATGCTGATGATGACGATGGTGATGATGCTCGTGATGATTATGATGCTGAAGAAGAAGATGATGATAATGGTGAGCATGATCAGGATGATGATGACGATGATGCTGATGATGCTACTGATGATGATGCTGATGATGATGATGATGATGATGCTGCTGATGATGATGATGATGAGGATGATGATCAGACTTATCAGTCTGATGATGATGATGCTGCTGATGATGATGATGATGATGATGATGATGATGCTGATGATGATGATGATGATGATGATGATGATGATGTGGGTGATGCTGCGCCCTCATTTCTAAGACAGCTAACATCTCTTGCGAAGTTTTCCGCATCCAACAATGTGTGCGATCTCCCTTGCATCTGCCGATCTTCTTCAGTGCTGTAGTGACTCCCAACGGTGCCGTTGCCCGCGCGGCGCTCGCGCCCCGCGCCCGCGCCGCGCGCGGGAGCAGCGCGCCCACCCGCGAGAAGAGGACCAGGGTGCTGCTCCACCCGCCTCCGCCGGAGGCCCGAGGGCTGAGACTTGCCTCCCGCCTGGTCCCAGTGGCCCTACCGAGCGACCCGCTGGCGACGATGCCTACTGCAGGCCGCCGTCCCTCGGCATGCGCAGGTCGGGTCGGACCAGGCGGAGGCCGCGGACGAGGTCGCGGCAGAGGCAGAGCGCGTCGCGGCAAGCAAGACGTGCGAGGTCGCAGCGTCTCTCGCCGTGCCCGTGGTGAGCAGCCTGCGCCCGAACACGCGCAGCATGGCGGAGGTCGCGGGGGGAGCCGTGGCGCCGCATCAGGTCGTGAATCGCCCGCGGCGGGAGGCGCGGAGGCGGCCGAGGAGATGCTTTCGCTGACCGCGAAGAGCCGCAGTCTGCGGTGGCTGGCCCAGGACCCCGATCGCAGGGCCGCCAGTGGGGTTGGTTCTTCCGACTCTACCCGAAGCTGCCGCTCGGGGGGCAAGACATCACGAGCGAGGTCGAGGTCGAGGGCGGCGTTGCCTTTCGTGTCTTGCAGATGGTGGAATTCGTAGGTGGCTCGGTGAACGGCCCGTTCGTGCTTGCTTCGAGGCGCAGTTCCTCAGGGCCGCGGTCGAGGTCGAAAGGGCCAAGATGCAGGAAACGTTCATCGACGTGCCTGAATCGTCGGACAAGCCACCGCCTGTTCTGCACTTCTGCTCGCTGGAGGTCGCGCCTGAGGAGTGTGATCGTGGTCTGGGTGTCTTCGATGCGGCCGTCCTGCACATCGACAAGTGGAGATGCCTGAAGGTGCCGTTTGTCCCCTTCCAGTCGGCGCCAATGCCCGACGGAGGCCCACCGCGCGATTGACCGCGTGGAGCTCCCGGCCTGGAGGATCCCGACAAGGGCAGAGGTTCCCGCAGGTGGAGGGGTTGAGCAGGCCGTGCCGCTTCCCCTTGGCCCGGCGGAGGTGTCAGTGCTAGGGGCGGTTCACCTGTCGAGGGTTGTTTTGGCCCGAAGGGGCGAGCGGCTCGGAGCGCTCCGTGCCAAGCTGCTTCGGGCTCGTGGTGGTGATGACAGCGGTGCTGCGCGCGGCAAGTCTAGCTGCAAGGCGGCCGCGGACAAAGTCGACGAGGTCGACTCGGACGAGGAAGACGACCTGCCGCCGGAGACATAGGATCCTGCAGCAGCTGAGGTGCGTGGCGTCGAGACAGGTCGAGGAGCTTGGGCGCTAAGCTGGCGACGCAGCTCAGGAACTCCGCCAGCAGCTCGCTTGCGCCGAGCCAGGATGGCCACCGCAAGTTCCAGAAGGCAGGGGCTCGGCGTCGAAGTCGCAGCTCCAGTGGTTCATCAGACGAAAGCTCAACATCCGGCGCGCTGGATTCGCATTTTCACTCCGCCCGCATCTCAGCGTGCGACCGGGCCAATCGCGTGGTCCAGAATGAGCCGGGTAAGTTGGCGAAGCGCGCGAATTTGAAGATGAAGACGTACTTGGACAAGCCAGGTTCGGCAACGTATCCGACCAGCCCCTGTGATGTACGTGTGCCCCGCCAGCATTTTCATCCCTTCCACTCGTGGCGCGCCCAGTGCCTCGAGCGACGGGGCGATGCGGGCGCTTGCGAAGGTGGTGGGCTGAATCCTTGACTGCGACGCTAACGGGGCTTGCGACATGGTGGCCCAGCAGTGCAAGGCAGTTTAACAGGTCCACGACGACGGCGGGGACTGGGGGGCCGCTCGCCACCTCGGCGTCGCGCCCGACGGCAAGGACACAGACGTGGAGGAGAAGGAGAAGGAGACGGTCTACCGCGATGAGAGGTCCAGAGGCTCGTGCAGCAGGTGGCTGGTGCGATGGGCGCCGCTCGCTGACATGCGCCCCCGCCGAGGCCCAGCGGCGGTGTCGGCGCCGACGGGCGCGGCGGGCGATTGCAATCTAGGGCCGCGCGCGAGGGGCCCGGTCATCTTGACGGCGGCTTCGGTGGGAGATCGGCGGCGCCCCACGTGGCCAGGCGCGTGTCGCGGCGTCGCGGGATTCGCCCCCCGCGAGGGGCGGGCCCGATTTCATCCTGCCAACCCAGCAGAGGCCTTGCGAGGCGAGGCTTGGAGAGCGCGCCCCCCCCAACCACTCCACAGGTCGAGATCGGGCCCCCGACGAGCTTCCGGCCGGGGGAAGTCCGCGCCGCGGCGGAGGCCGCGGCACGAACCAGAAGGGCGAGTGCAGCAACGGCAAGGGCGGCAAGGACGAGCCGTGGCCCCCACCCGGTTAATGGTCCTTTTTAATTTCTGGCGCCAGCAGCAGGCCGCGAGCAAGGGCGAGGGCGAGGGCAAGGGTGGAGACGGTGGGGGCAACCACTAGAGGAGATGCCTCCCAGGAGCGCTGGCGCGGGAGAGGGCTGCCCAGCCTGGAGTGCGCGGGCCAGCGCCGCCAGGGTTGCCTTCGATTCCATCTCGCGCGCAGGCGCAGGCGAGGCCCGCGCCGCGTCGGGCTCATCCCCCCCATGAGGGCTTGCCCAAAGCTTGCTGGTTGGATGAATTTGCTGCCAACTTGCCGCCCGAGCGATGCGCCTCCGCTCCCCTGGCTGCGCCAGACGCTCGAGTCCGAGGTCGTCCAGCAGCTTGACCTCGCGCCCTTCGGCGAGTGCCCCCGCGCGGCTTTTGTCGGCAGCTCTAAGGTGGACGGTTCGGCTGTGGCGCGCCCTTGTGGAGCTGAGCACTCTGGGCGCGCGTCCGCGCGTTCGCCTAGTCGAGCCGGCGCGCGAGACTTGCTTCCGCTTCCCGTCTCAGGAGACCCGCATTGGAATGAATCTTGCCGTCGTGCGAGGGAGCGCCGGAAGCTCGAGCGCGCGGCAGTTGGGGGCGCCAGGGCGAGGGCGGGTCCCAAGCCAGATGGCCAGGAGGCCCGGCGTGCTACATTGATCGCGGGCCTCAGCGCGCTATGGGTGGAAGACGGGGTGAGGCGCCGCAAGGGCGCCGGGCGCCCGAGACCACGTGCTTCGCCGCGTAGCAGGTCTCGGGGGGTTTGCCCCATGCGCCGCGGCGCCGCGCCGACGGCTCGCCAGGTTCAGGCTTCTCGGAGGACGGCGAGGCGAGTCGAGGTGTTCTTGGGGCGCGGGCTCTGCCCGACGCCCCAATTGCCTGCGAGGGAATTCCTGGCCAGCCGCAGCGCCTACTACGCGGGATCTTTAACCGGGAGAGCAGAGACCCTGGCGCGGGCTCAGGTCTTGCTCTCTCTCTCTCTCTCTCTCTCTCTCTCTCTCTCTCTCTCTCTCTCTCTCTCTCTCTCTCTCTATATATATATATATATATCTCTCGCACCGTTGGAGCGCTGCGCCTCGGTCGACATCCTTCAGCTGTGCGATCCTCGCGCTGGGAGGTGGTTCGTTGCGCCGCTGGCAACGATTCCCCGCTGGAAGGTGCGCCGGGGTGTCATGGTCGAGGGGGCGTCCCGTGTACCTTTCGCGAAGGGCCTTGTCGAAGGCGGGCTAGTCACCCTGCTGCGCGAGTCCGATCAGCCCCCCGCGTTTCTTCGACGGCGCTCCGGGCTGCGGCGGGGGCGGCTGCGAGGCCAGGCCGTCGCGATAAACCTCGACAGACGGACCGCTTGCAGGGCGAGCATGCGCGGCGCGATGATACTGAAAACCATCCTGCGCGATCCCACCACCAAGCGGAGCAAGTGGAGCACGATCATCCTCTTGAAGAATGTGCCCATGGCGAGCGGCTTTTCTGGGAGAAGCCCACCACATTGCAGGCGCAGCGGGTGGGGCACAATCGCAGTGAAGACCATGCCCGTGACAAACGGCTTCTTCAGGGATAAGCCCAATCCCAGTCGACGCGGGTAATGCGCGACCATCTTCTTTAAGAGCACGCCCGTGACGAACAGCAATTCCGAGGGGAAAGCGGATTTCAGGCTGAACTCCAGGCGCGGCAAGTGCAGCCCGACCATCGTCGCGGATACTTTCCCCTGACCGTCGGCCTCGCTGGATAGGACGTCGCATCCGGGCCCAGGGGCGCGATCATCTTCAATATTACAATCACTGTAATGGAGAAGCCGCTCCGAGGAACAGTGAGCACCGTCACGCTATCTTCTCGAATACTACATTCTACATTCATGACGAACAGCTTCATTGTTGTGGAGCCCATCTCCAGGCCTAATCCCAGGGAGTGCAAGAACGGCGCGGTCATTCTCATCAGGCGCATGCTCATCGCGATCAGCTTCGCTTCACCAGTTGGGAGTTCGCCTGCAGGCATAGCGAGCGCAGCACGATGATCATCAATACGTTTATGCCGGACAAATAGCTTCGCTAGGTTGAAGCCCATCCAGCCAACTTCCGGGCGCGGCAATTGCAGTTCGACTGACATCATGCAACGTATGTTCATGACGAGCGGCTTCAGCAGGCAGCAGCGCACTCACAGCAAGGGCAAAATGGCCACCTTGAAAGCCATGCCCGTGACGAGCGACCTCGCCAGTCAGAAGCCCACCTCGAAACACAGCGTTACGTACATCCTGATCATCATCATCATCATCATCATCATCATCACCATCCTCCTCACCATGCTAGTCATCATCAGATGCATTGTCAGCATCATAATCGTCATCATCGTCTGGCCCGAGGGCCTAGGCGGGAAGGGTTCCTACGTGGTTCCTGCTGGCCTCAGACAGCGGGGGCCTAGCGGGGCGGCTGTCCAGTCCCGGCGCCTGGAGGCCCTTCATCGTCGCTAGCTGCGCTGAGGTTCGCTCGCGCAACCTCCTTGTGCGCTGGGCCTTGCGCTTACAGGTGGCGGCCTAGTGCGCGTCACACGGCGTTGGCGCACCGTGCCGCGTCCGCTGGGGCGGGATCAGCAGCATCATTCATCATCATCATCATCATAATCATCATCATCATCATCATCATCATCATCATCATGACCATCACTATCACAATCATCGTCATCGTCATCGTCATCGTCATCGTCATCATCGTCATTGAAGTGTTCTCGGCAGGTGCACGCTCTCTCAACGTGTAAGACAAGACCGTGGCGCCCCAAGCTACGTGCAGTCATCATCATCACCATCAGCATCATCAGCATCATCATCACCATCATCACCATCATCACCGTCATCACCATCATCATGACCATCACCATCACCATCACCATCACCACCACCATCACCATCACCACCACCGCCATTACCATCACCGTCATCGCCGTTGTCAACATCTTCATCACCCTCGTCGTCATCGTCATCATCATAATCATTATCATCATGAAAACAGTTCTCCTGACGAGTAACTCCAGTGGGCACGTCATTACCTGCAGGCGGGTCAAGGGCAGCACAGCCGTCAGCACCGCCGTCATTATGAGGGTCATCTCCTCGACAACCAGCATGAACACCATGACCATCGTCCGCGAAGTTACAATGCCCACAGCAGTACTTGGCATGCTCGGAGTCCACGATGACCACCGTGACTTTGAAGTTGAGGTTGCATCCAAACGCATCTACGACGTTCGCGAAGCGCTGGCCGCGCGACTGAGTGAGCAGCGTGGGCGGCAGCCATAACTGGACAGGCATGTACGCCACGCCCACTGCCAGGACGCCCCAATAGCGGCCGGCCGCACTGGCCGCTCAGGCCGAAGTTCTCCGTGCCGTGAGTGCCCTCCTCTTCTTCCCGCTCCGCGGCCGCCCTCCGCCCTGTTCTTTTTTTCTTGCTGCCAGACAGTGAGTGCGCTCTGCCCTGGCTGCTGGCGCGCGCGAGTGCATCGCCCCTGCCGCGCCGCGACGAGAACATGCGCGCCACCTGCACCGCCTCTTGCCGTGAGGGCCTCTGGGCCGCCCCTGCGGGAGTCCAGCCGCGCCCGGGCGCCCGCCGTGGCCTCGCGCGGCCCGCCCCGGCGCTGGCCCCCGCCGCCGTGAGCCGAGACAGCTCGAGTCAGAGTGGCTCGAGCCAGGGTGGCTGCGGAGGGGGGGGGGGTGATCCTCGGGGAGAGAGCAAATCCGTAGCCCTAAGGACACAGTGGAGACATGGCCTCGCTCAGGTCCCCGTCTTGGCCTTTTGGACCACAGAGACCCGGGCGGCTTGGTCTGGCACGCCTGCAGAAAAGAGCCACCTGTCCGTAGTCGCTTTAGCCCTCCAAACTAAGGCCCCCTCCAAAAGGGTCAGGGGTCCTCTCATCGCTAATTCGGTGAGGGGAGGACTGGAGCGAAACAGAGCAGCAGGGGAGTGGACTTGGTAATGGTGTTGACTAAAGAACGTAAGCATGCGCTTTGAGAGTATTTTCTTTTTAGAGGTATGTCTCTTTATAACCTGGGTCGGATGGCGCCGGGAGTAACGAATCAGGGGATCATCGTTGCTTTCTCGCGTTTTACTGACCATGACGACTGACGTTCTGGACTGATGTTTTGTTTTAGGTTTGCATTCGGATCCATGCTGATTGCCAAGCTGTTAGCGTGCATTCGTACGGACATGCTGGTATGCACATGCAGATGTTTACCCCCAATCTCTACATGCTGCAGCCTTCTAGGTGCAAGGATTTTCTGTCGCTGCAGGCTCTGCCACTTCCCTGACGGTGATGAACGGCACGGGACTTGTGGTCGGCACAGCTGGTGCGTATGACCGCCATCAGCTGAAAGCCTCACTGGACGCGCGCCGAGGGCCCGCGCAGTATGGACAGCTGCAGGCGGTCATGGCAGCGAAGGGCCTGATCGGGGACCGCAGCTCCCGAGATTGCGCACGCACGTCGGCAGACGAACTCCCCGGAGCAGCCGCTGCGGTCGAGGCGCCGACGGGATCTACAAGTGAGACCGCGCGTGGCACAGGTCAGTAGAGAAATAGAGGGAGAGAGGAGGAGGAAGAGAGAGGGACAGACGTGGTAAGATAAACGGGATTCCCCATCATCACCAACGCTGGGCCCCCCTGGTCTGCGCTGAGGTCTGGCAGGTGGCGCCTCCGTTGCAAATATTCGCTCAACGGCGAGTGGCCTAATGTTGTCACAGACCACGTAGCTAATGGGTGGGTGTCTTGGAACCCGAAATCATATTCCGAGGCCTGTGGCTGGTCTACTACATCACATGGCACTCCATCGCACTCCATTGCATTCGATTGCGTTCCACAGTATTCAATCCAATCCCGCTGCCCCCCTTTACGCCATTTTTCGTTGCATGAGCATGAAGTATACATTACCTCGCTCATTCTGTGTGCTACGTGGCGGCGTGGCGTCGCGGGGTTGTCGTGCTGACATGTTTGGTTTCTCCCAGGACACTGTTGGGGACCCCCTTGGTCTTGTTGGGATCGTCTTAGCGCCCTGAAGGGCTTCTGTTGGAGCTACCTGGGAAGATGACAACGTTGTAGAACCACCGAACACTTGAGCCACTGGGTTATGTCTACAACATCCGTGTCCTCTCGTGGGGGCACTTGGGGCCCTCATGGCCCAGTGTCTTGCGGCTCTGCCAGGCTCCCTGCTCCGAGGGGAGGGGGGGGGCGAGGGGTGGAGGTGGAGGTGGGGGTGGGGGTGGAGAGAGGGAGGGGGTGGGAGTGGAGGGCGTGGGGGAGGGATGGGACCATAGATGGACAGAAAGTGGAACCCTTTCACCCTGCCCGCCCTCCCCCCAGATTCAACTTTGGTCCCAGGCACTCGGTAGCACAGGCGTGGGAGGACCAACAGTGTACCCCCCAGGGCCTCCGCGAGTCCCGACCCAATTTTGAATCTGGGGGGAGGGGATGGGGGCGAACACGGGGTCGAACCTGAAGGACTCCTACCCGTTTGTCCTCTTTCTGGAGGGGAGGGCGTGTGGAAGGGGAGGGCGCCTCGGCCGCGCACGAGGGGCACCTCGCATGCTGCCCCTCTTCCCGCTTGGAGCGGGCGGCGCCAGCCGTGTTTTTCGCAGGGGCTTTCCAGCGACGCTGGCCTCCTTCCCCTTCTCCTCCTCACCCTTCTCCCCCTTCCCCCTTCCCCCCCCTCCTCCTCCTCCTCCTCCTCCTCCTTCTCCTCCTCCTCCTCCTCCTCCTCCTCTTCCGTAGCCTCCGTAGCCGTTTTGGCTCAAGCCATTTTGTCTCAAGTCATGTGTTCCGCCCGCTTTCGGCCGCGCGGGACCACTTGGGATGGCTGCGGGACGCCGCCTTGAGGCGGAGGTGCTGCGCGGCGCGGCAGGTGCACGCGCCGCGGCGGACCGTTTGGTCGCCAAGCTGCAGGACGAAGTGGCTCGGCTGCGGGCTCAGCTGGGCGGTGGCAGCGGCCGCGGCGCCGTGGCCGTTGAGGTCGCGCGCCGAGAGGCCTTGGCCCGCCCCGCTCTTGTCGCCCGCGTTCGAGGTCGTTCGGAGCCCAACGAGGCTCGGTTAGTGCGGACCGTCGCCCTCCACGCCAAGAAGTGCCCTGCCGCTGGGGCGTCGCTTTCGGAATGGTGCAGCGCGCGGCGGGGCAGTCGGCTGGGGACCGACGGCGTTGCGGCCGTCGATGACGATAGCGACGAGGGCGTGATCCCCGCTCTTCGTGACCTGTTCCTCGGCGCCCTGCAGGTGCAGCCGCCGCTCCCCGTCACGGGCGGCGCAGTGTGGCATGCAGGTGCTCTGGAGTGGTTTTTGGAGCAGGGATTCTATTTCAAGTCCATGTCATCCGCTGTCGTGGACTCCGAGGTCGGTTTCGACGCTCCCGAGGGGTCCCAGGTGCGCAAGGAGATTCAGGAGCAGGAGGTCCAGGCCAGGCTGCTGCGGGTCGGCGCGGAGGTCTTCGTGCCGAGCGCGCGGCGGGGCGTCCGCTGCACGTGCGGCACCGTCGCCTTCACGAGCGTCTCGGACTTGCCCGCGGCGCCGGCCGCAGAAGGGCCCCTGCGGGGGATGGCTGCCCTGCCGCCCGTTGAGACGGTGGCTGCTGCAAGGGAGCCGCTCGCCCAGCCAGAATTTCTTGTTTCGGCTGCACCTGTTTTGCCAGTTTCTTCAGATCTCCGCACCTCTTTTGACAGGTTGGGGGCAGCTCAGAATTGCCCCTTCTGCTATTGACGAAGGTTGTGGGCAGCCCAGAATTGCCCATTCTGCTTTTGACAACGGTTGTGGGCAAACCCAGAAGTGCCCAGGTACATTCTGCTGCAGGAGCGTCGTCTTCAGCCTCGCGCTCCTGTTCGCCTTCGGTGCTTGGAGGTGGTGGCCCTCGGGTGATGGTGGACCCGCCGACGGGCGAGGAACTGCTCCCCTCCCCGAGCCTCGTGCCAGGACCGCCGACGGGCGGTGCGGGGCCTTGCCCTGGCACGGGTGCTGTCGCCACCACCTCCCATGTTCTTGCAGTTCATGCGACGAGTTCGGCATCTCCTTGATCGACTGGAGCGACTTCGGCGCCTGGTCTTTGCAACGTTGGCGAGGTCTCTGCGGACTTCGACGACGCGGAGCTGGCGGATTGTGGCAGCGCCCTGCAACAGGGCGCGGCTGGACCGTCGCCCCCTTTGGCCGTTGACGGACGGCCCGCTGGATTGGAGATTTGCTCAGGATTGGGCAGCCGCCGAGGAGGCTCCCGAAGGGGTCATGTTTAACCAGCTGTTGAAGCTGCGGCACGGCGCCATCCAGCGGAGTTTGAGGAGCTCCGAGTGCCCTGCAGGGCACGCCTTGGTCTTCGAGACCGTGCCGCCTGGCGAGGAGGACTCTGATTGCCAACTCTGCGATGGCGAGTACTTCGAGCCGTCCGAGCAGTTCGTGTCATGTTCGGTTGTCTCCTGCGAGTGGTGGTTCTGCATGCAGTGCTGGGCCAACCACGGTGGGACGACCACGGCTTAGCGCTCTTGGGGGGAGAGCTGGCGGCGCACGGCGGGCCTGGCGCTCGTGGCGGTGGAGCTGCTCATGCTCTTCCTTTTCGCTAGGTTCGGGGTTGCCCTAGAAAACCCCCTTGCCTTTCGGCGATGCCTCGGCCCAGCACTCACCGCTGGCGTGCCGAGGGGGCGGCGGCCGTCACCCTGGGGGGCGCCCAGGAGACGTTGGCACGGCCGCCGTCGGGCCGCGCTTCCTCCTCCCCACTCAGTGGATAACAGCGATGTCCAGCGATGTCCTCTTCCGTAGCCATTTGGGCTCAAGCCGCTCACCAGCGAGCGAACCCCCTTTTGGCCCCAACTGGCTTGTCATGGTCCGGAGTCGCTTGGCGACGCTGCTTGCTGTTTGAGTTCTGGTTGCGCGCTGCCCCGTGCGGTGTCTATTTTCCCGCCCGCCGTCGAGTGGTGCTCATGGTCCATCGCTGGTCTTCCGAGAAGCTTGCAGCGCGCCGCCTTCGAGCGGTGAAGCATGGTTATTGTCGACCTCGTCCTGCGCCTGGCCGCTCTTGGATGTGCGTTGCCTCCTGCATCAAGGACGATGCGGCTATAGTGGTGCGCTCCATAGAGGTCCACGCGGAGCACGACCGACTTTCTGACGGCCCTCCGCACCATGCTGCGCGGGCGGCCACGCGGGCACTCCGCTCGCAGCTGAGCAAGGACGCTCATGCCAAGGCCCAGAGGTTGCACAATAATGCCAACGCCGCCAAGCACGAGGTCGGCAGGAAGGCCAAGGACGCCGGGCTGCCTGCCTCGGACCCGCTCTTTGTCTCTGACCCGTGGGCGGCTACGCGGCCAACCCCAGCTTCGAGTTGGGTGCCCCCTTCTGCGCGGCAGGCTCTGTCGTCGGCTGCTAAGGGCATCGCCGCTGCACAAGCCGACCGATCCACGGCCGGTGCTGGTTTGCGGAAGGAGGCCGTGGAGTTCACCCCAATGTCGCGGGACACGCCGCCCCTCGCCTGCTCCATGGTCTCGTCGCTGGAGTCCCAGTTGGACTACGCCCTGTCTCTCATCATCGCTCAAAATGCGACGATCGCCCATCTGCGTGGCGAATTGGAAGCTCGTGCGCCCTCTGCCTCTCTGGTTCCCGCTGCCTCGAGCGGCGACTGCGGTGGGCGTTCTGTTGCTGCGGACCCGTTCGCCTACTGCGACCAGGCGGTCAAGGAGGTGAAGCAGTGGGTGCTCCGAGTGGTGCGGGAGTTTATAGATGAGTCCGTGAAGGCGGTGAACAAGGCCACACGAGAGACGCTGGCGGCTTCCTCGGCGTCCGTCCTCGCGAAGCTTGACGGGATCAGATCGCAGATCGCGTCTCCGCTGGCTCCTGCATCGCCGCTTCTTGCGAGCGGATTAGCTTCGCTGCGTGGTGCTGCCTCTCCTGGTCCTGGCAGCGTTGACTCGTTCGAGGCCTCGGTTCGGAACGTTGCTTCGTCCGCATCTCATCCCGGCCTTTGTGCACAGGCTCTGCGCGAACTGCTGGGCGGCTCCTCTGGCCTCGAGGCCCGTCTTCGGCACCCAGTTTCTTCTCGTGTGTCTGAAGGTCCGTCTGATGAAGAGTGTGAGGAGTGCGGCGGTGTGACAAGTATGCGGCGGAGCCGGCTCACCTGCCAGTGCATGCTGAACGAGCCCGAGGAATCTTGGGTCTTGTAATGTAGCGATCGGCCTCTTCGCGGGTTTCCTGGTGGCCTACTGGTGGGTCGTGCTCACGGTCTTCGAGATGGGCCTTTCGGTGTCGCTCTTCCTGGTGCGGCCTCCTCCTCCTCCTCCCGCTCCTCTTCCTCCTCCTCCTCCTTCCACTCCTTCCTTTCCATCACCCTCCACTCCTCCTTCTGCTTTCCTTCTCCTTCTCCTTGTCCTCCCCCTCCCTCCTCCTCCTTCCTCTTTCCTCCTGCTCCTCCTCCTTCTCCTCCTCCTCTTCCCTCCTCCTTCTCTGCCCACTCCTCCGCCTCCGCCTTATTCTTTTTTTCCCAACCATCCTGTGGTGTTGGGTCCTCGTTTTGAAGAGACGGTCCCCGCGTTCCCCCTCTCCTCCTCTCTCCTCCTCTCGCCTCCTCCTCTTCCTCCTCCACCTCCTCCTCCTCCTCCGTCCTCTCATCCTCCCCCTCCTCGTCCTTCTCATCCTCCCCCTCCTCCTCCTCCCCCCATCCCACTACTCCATCTTCCCTGCGTGTCCCCAACCCAGTACAGCGTTTCGTGGCCCCAGAGGAGCTCCACATGAGGGCCCAGTGAATGCGCTCGCATGGCACCACCGCGCCCACTTCGGCACACCCCTCACACGTTTCGTGGCCCCATAGGGAGCTCGGCCGAAGGCCCCAATGACTGCGCTCGCATGACAACGCCGCGCCCATTTCGGCACGCCCCTCACACGTTTCGTGGCCCCAGAGGAGCGCGACCGAAGGCCCTATTGGGTGCGCTCGCATGACACCACCGCACCCATTTCAGTGCACCTCTCACACGCTTCGTGGCCCCATAGGGCCATAGGGAGCTCGACCGAAGGCCCCAGTGGTTGCGCTCGCATGGCACCACCGCGCCCATGTCGGCACACCCGTCACACGTTTCGTGGCCCCAGAGGAGCTCGACCGAAGGCCCCAGTGGTTGCGCTCGCATGGCAACACCGCGCCCATGTCGGCACGCCCCTCACATGTGTTGCACCCCCACGCTGAGCTCCGCCTTCGTGGCTGCGCGCACCCATTTCGGCACCCCCGTCACGCTTCGTGGCCCCATGGGGAGCTCCACCGGAGGCCCCGGTGGCTACGCTCGCATGATACCACCACGCCCATGTTGGCACACCCCGCACACGTGTCGTGCCCCACAATGAGCTCCACCGAAGACGATACCAACAATTGCGTTACCCACAACTGCATATGATTGGGTCCTTCGGCGGGATAAGCTTTCCACTCGTCCTCCCCCCCGTCGTCATACTTGTGTACCCCCAGCATCCACGAGCACCGACGCTCAAGGGTGGGAGAGCTCAACAGCACCACCCAACACTCGACAGCGTTGTGCCTACCGCAAAGGGCACGAGAGCTACACTACAACCCTCCCCTCCCCCTCCTCCCCCTCCTCCCTCTTTCCCTCTCTCCTCTGCCCCCCTCCACCTCCCCCGCCTCCTCCTCCTCCTCCTTTTTTACGTTGCGCGGACCTGAAGCACGACCGCGCAACGTCTTCCTCCTCCTCCTCCTTTTTGACGTTGCGCGGACCTGGGGCACGAGCTTGTGGCGTTACTGCAAGAGAAAACTCCGCCGACCTAGGCAAAGAAGCAAACACTTTGGGCTTGGCGACGAGTTCAGCGGACACAGACGTGCGGAAACTAGTGGCGGCAGAGATGCCTTCAATGGCGCAGAGTAAGCGCTGGCCACCAGCGCTGTGGGAGATACCGGGGGACGACACGGAATGACATTGATGATAACACATTCACATGCTATTGAGGAGACCGAATGCGGAGATGTCGAAGTACGCTTGCAGTGCGATGGGAAAGAGATACACATACAGGCGACCCACGGAGAGTAGAGTGGCGATCTAAGTGCGAGACAGTGGATCATATACATAGGCTGGCACTGTAAAGAGCTGGCCTGTGTTGTTGTCTGGGTCGGGGCTTAAAACCTGTAGCCAGGAGAGCCGAGATAAAGTGGGCCACGCCCTGTAGGCCAGAGGCCCCGAAATGAGAGTGAGCTTGGACTCCAACGCACCTCCTCGTACCAATACCGCCGCACCTGTCCGCCCAATCCTTTAGTCATATAGCTCACAGGTTAAGGATGACAGCGAAGCAAGCTTGACAGAGCAAAGGACATGTGGCACGGGTTGTGCATACATATCTCTATATACATACATATCTATGTATATATTTGTATATATGCATATGTATACGTATATGTATATGTACATGTACATGTACATGTACATGTACATGTATATGTATATGTATACGTATATGTATATGTATATGTATATGCATATTCATAGGTATATGCAGGTTGATATACGTATGTATATGTAAACGTAACTGTATATGTATAGGTATATGCAGGTGTATATGTATATGTATATGTGCATTTATATGTATATGTATATGTACATGTCTATGTACATGTATAGGTATACGTAAATGCAGATGTAAATGTATATGCACATATATATGTACATTTCTATGTTTATGTACATGTATAAGTATATGTATATATGTATATGTATACATATGTATATGTATATGTATGTGTATATGTATATGTATATGTATATGTATATGTATGTGCATATGTATATGTATATGTATATATATGTATATATGTAGATGTAGATGTATATGTCGATGCATATGCATATTCATATGTGTATGTGTATGTGTATGTATATGTACATGCGTATATATATGTATGTATCTTTATATGTTCATGCATACGCATATGCACATATATATATATATATATATATATATATATATTGTAGTGGCCTTCGGCCAGTGCCGCCGATCTGGGTCGCTCGGGGTTATTCTCCAGACGCAGACATTATGGGCGCACACTCAAACGCACACACGCAGTCACATCACCCAACCCGCGCCGCAGACATGGGGGCCTGTCAGGGCGTCCTGGGGGGCTTCTCGGAGACTTTTGGGGGCCCTTTTGGGAGCTCTTAGGCGTCTGGGGGCGTTTTTTGGGGCATCTTAGGGGCCTGTCAGGGCGTCCTGGGGCGCTTCTTGGAGGCTTTTGGGGGCCCTCTTGGGAGCTCTTGGGGCCTCCGCTTTTTCCGCTTTTCGTCCCTCTTTGGGGTCTGCTTGGGGACGCTTGGGGGGGCTCTTGGGCCGTCACCCCGCATCCGCCGGAAATTCCCACCCCCCCCCCCATCCCCCCTTCCACGGCAGAGCCACCCCGGCAACCCCCCCAGAGGCTGAGGCTCAGCCTCGAGGCTGTAGCTGAGACTCCTTGAAACTCACACGCTGGATGGGCGGATATGTATATGTTTATGTATATGTATATGTAGATGCATATGTATATATGTAGATGTATATACATATGTATATGCATATGTATACGCATATGTATAGGTATATGTATTTGTATATGTATATGTATATGTATATATGTGTGTGTATGTGTATGTATATGTATATGTATATGTATATGTATATGTATATGTTTATGCATATGTATATGTATTTGTATATGTATATGTCTATGTATACGTATATGTATATGTATATGTATATGTATATGTATATGTATATGTATATGTATATGTATATGTATATGTATATGTATATGTATATGCATATGCATATGTATATGTATTTGTATACGTATATGTATACGTATACGTATACGTGTATGTGTATGTGTATGTGTATGTGTATGTGTATGTGTATGTGTACATGTATGGGTATGTATGTCTGTATATATATACATGAGGGGCTGAGGATGTGGCGCAGGCGATGGAGAACTATGATGTGCACGGCAGCGGCTGGGAAGCACCGTGGAAGAGGAATGGAGTTGTACGTGCTGACTGGTGCTGTGGTAAGCAGTCCACCGTGGGGTGGACCCATGTGGCCAGCCCCATACTTTTTCGCTAACCTTTGTTAATCGTAGAGCGTGGACTGCAACGTGAGAGAAGTCTGGTAACTGTGAGGCTAGATGAGGCCACGCCCTAGAGCTAGGGGGGCCTGAAATATCTAAAAGCATCGTATCTGCTGACAGTGTTTAGCCCGCAGCATGCTTGAAACTTGTTCATCGTTGGCGATCTGTCGGCTGGCCAGCTGCGTTGGTGAGTACGACTTTGCAGAGTAGCAGGCCTGGTTACGAACGGTCGGGCATAACCAGATGCCGCTGAAGGTTTATTCCCGTACCCCCCACCACCCAAGCCTAGGCCCCCCCCCCCCCCACGAGTACGTGTTAATGGGCCAGCGCTGCCGCTGCCTGGCCTTACATGTAACGGTTTGGGCGTGTTGGCTTGGCTGTAGCTCAGCAGAGGGAGGGAGAGAGAGAGAGAGAGATATAGAAAGAGAGGGAGACAGAGAGAGAGAGAGAGCGAGACAGAGAGAGATATAACAAGATAAAGAGCAACAGAGAGCTAGCGAGCGAGCGAGAGAGCGAGGGAGAGAGAGAGAGAGAGAGAGACCGTTTGCGGTGCTAACTGGGCAGGACTGGGAGGCTATACGTGCTGACTGGTGCTGCGGTAAGCAGTTCACAACGGGGTGGACCCTGATGGCCAGCCCCCTACTTACTCGCCAACTTGCGTTGGGCAGCATAATTAGTATCACAGCCAAGCGTATGGGTGAACCAAACATGTGCACGCTGATCATACACATATGCTGGCACTGTAAAAGACTGGTCTGTGTTTTTGTATTAGAAGCGGCTTGCAGTCTGGAGCCAGGGGAGCCGAAATAAAAGGGGCTACGCCCTGTAGGCCAGAGGGGGGGGCACCGACATGCGAGTGAGCTGCAACTCCAACGCGCCACCACGTTCCCACTACCGTCCCACCTACCCGCCCAATCTATTCGTATAGCTCACAGGTCAACGATGGCTGTGGCACAGGCGGCGCATAAAGTTTCATGAGGGGTAGAGGATGTGACGCAGGAGGTAGTGACATCTGATAGTTACGCGTAGGAGGATGCCTGCAACGTGAGGGAAGACTGGTAACTGTGAAGCTAGATGGGGCCACACCCTGGAACTAGGGGGGGGCTGAACGATGTAAACGTATGTGAGCAGCTGACAGTATCTAGCCTGAACGAGTCCGTGTTGATGGGCCAGCGTTGCCTGGCCTTAAACATAACGGTTTAAGCGTGATGGCTTGGCCGTAACCATGCAGAGAAAGAGAGAGAGAGAGATATAGGCAACATACTAGAAGACATTGGCAGGCCATGGGCGAGAGTGTGTGGGGGTGGGTGGGTCTAGTGTGACCTGATGCTGCTCGTCAGCGGGCAGCAGCGACGTGGGGTAATAGGGGGGAGAGCGGGAGGTGGCACTCCGAATGAGGCGACCGTCGAAGCCTTATGCATCCGCAAGCGGACACACAGGACCTCGGCCTTCACCAGCCATCTGCGAAGCACTGTCCCTGGGGGGGAGGAGTCTCCAGCAGGCCGATTGAGCGGGGAAGGCGAGAGAAGTAGGAACGACGACATGACCGAACGGCGGACGCCAGGACGATAGCAGGATGAGCCTTGGTATCACAATGTTGTAGGGAGTCGAATGGGACAGGAGGGAGTGCTGTCAGAAATCCGAGATCTGCGATAGGCGATGTTCTGGAGGTTGCTGTGGTGGGTGTAGCGAGGTCGTAGACTCTTCACTACGTGCCGTAATATTGTCCCAAGTAGTTGTTGCCGTCAGCCTGTAGTGTTGGGAACCTTGGTTTCGGTGTGGGCGGCGATTTGTATTTGGGTACTGGGGACTTAGGCTTGGGCATGGTTGGCGCTGCCATGGCGGTGGATATTGCTTGACGTTGTCGTAGTTCTGCTTGGCGTGAGTTGCGCTGTCGTGCTTCTCTCGGGTATTGCTGGTGTTGCTGCTGGTGGTTGCGTAACGTCTCGATGTAGTCCAATAACCTCTGGTCGTTGCTGTCGTGGACGTAGTGCTCCTCTAGATGCTCTGTTTGTGTGTGTAGGCACTGGGGTGGAGCTCGTATGTGCGTCTTGGAACTGTATCGGAGGCGCTTCTGGTAGGGGAAGTATACCTGCTTTGTGGCAAACGTTTGTGGTGCTCGCTCTGATGTGGGCGAATTGTGCTTCTCTTCCCATGTGTGGCGCAGGACTGCTGAGTCGTAGGTAGATGGGTCGCTGGTGCTTGCTGCTTTGGCGTGTCGGTGTCTGCTTGTGGTGTGTCTGCTGGTGGTTGTTGTGCGGATTGCAGTGCGTCAGTAGTAGTGTAGTCGCTTCAGTAAGAGCTTGATGGTCCTCCTCCTCCTCCTCCTCCTCCTCTTCCTCCTCCTCCTCCTCCCTCCTGCTCTTCCTCCTCCTCCTCCTCCTCCTCATCATCATCATCGTCATCATCATCCTTCCTGTCTCCTCCTCCTCCTCCTCCTTCTCCTTCTACTTCTCCTCCTCCTCCTCCTTCTCCTCCTTCTCCTCCTCCTCCTCTTCGTCCTCGTCGCCGGCGGCGCCAGTCGGTGGCCGCACTTCGTCGCCCCGGGCCAGCGGGGTCCTGAAGGAAGAGGGCCCCGGGCCTCCAGAGCTTTCCCTGGAGGGACCTGCGGGGACAGCTGCAGGGCTCCGCAGGGGGGGGATGGGGGTTAGACGAAGTCAGGACGAGGATAAAATCGGGTGGGGATAAATCGGGGATTTCTGAGATCCAGCGGTTCTGGAGGATGTTTTGGGCACCGCGGCCTTCTCGAAGCGTTCTGGAACGCTCTGAGAGCGTTCCAGAACGCTCTGGACGGATTTATCCTCGTCCTAGCCCCGTCCGAGAGGGTGATGCAGGGGCATAGGGAAGCCTCAAGGGCCCAGGGTCCCAGGAGGCCCACACTCAGGACACCCCCTTGGCAACAGGAGGCCCTCATGACCCCAGGAGGGACTCCAGGGACCCAAGGGCCCAGGGAGCTCCTCAGGTCCCCGCCTTGGCTCGTGGCAGTTCCCGCATTTTCGGCGGCTCGCGCCCCGAGAGGGCGTGCGCCACAGTGCCCCGACAGCGCGCGGCCGGCCGCCGGGGCGTCCTGCGCTGCTGCGCGTGGCCGCACGAGTGTTTGCCGCCAGGATCGCACCGAAGTCAGGAAATTCTGTGTTTCTCGGCGGCGAGCGGGGGGGGGGAAGTGAGAAGGAAACGGCTTTCTCAGAAGGCGGCGAGGCTTCTCAGAAGCCCTCCGGCCTTCTGAGAAGTTTTCTGCGTCTTCGGGGAAGGCTCGGAAAACCTTTCAGACGAGCGGGGGACTTCCGAGCCTTCTGAGAAGGCCCACCCCCTCTCACTTCCTCCCCGCGCTGGGTGTTGTTCGCAGCCATCTGCGCGTTGCTGTCTCATGCCCGCCCCCCAGCTGTGGTGTCTCCCATTTTCTTTTTATTCTCACAGTGCGTGGTCTAGGGAGCTTGGTCTGAGGGGGCCGTTTTTTGGGTGGGAAGGGCTCCCACGGGTTGAGCTGTAGGTGTTGCGCCTGAGGGCCCCGGAACTTCTGGGTGCCACGGCTAGCGCCCATTGGGTACGCCATAGTGTGCGCTCATGTGTTGCGCCTGAGGGCCTATAATTAGGTTGCGCCCACGGTCTGTTCCTGAGGGTCCAGGAACTTTTGGTTGCTGCGGGTTGCGCCCATGTGTTGCGTTTGAAGGTCCAGGAAGTTGTTGCGCCCATGGGCTGCGCCATAGTGTGAGCCCCTGGGTTGCCCCATGAAGTACACCCATGGGTTGCGCCTGAGTGCCCAGGACCTTCTCGATGCCGCAGGATGTTTCTTGGGGCCGTGCTGGCGTCCCGTGGCGTGTCCAACGGCCTCGGGGTGCAGATCATTCGTATGCCATGTAACCCACTAGGGTGTGGAGCAGGATGCGCGCGAGGGGTGTGCCGAGATGGCAGTGTCGTAGCACTGCTCACTCGTATGTTTACGCGTCCCACTATAATATCAGACAAGACATTCGTGATGGGGTGCGCCGAAACGAAGCTTTCGCAGCCCTGAGGGCGCATCATCTCACTCGTGCATTTACGTGTCCCGGGAGGTGTAACGCGCGTGGGCCTAGCGCTGGGGGCACGTTTCGCTCGTATATTGAGTTGCCTCCGGGAGAATTGATTAAGTCGGCCGGCGGGATGCGCGAGGCGGCTGGCGGAATGCGCATGTCACGCATATTTTCACGTGCCCTTGGAGCTGCCATGCCCCAGGAGAGTCATTAAAACTTGGCCCCACTGGCCGGCGGCATGGACGAAGCCCGTCTCAGCATGCCTTAAGCATGCCATCTCACTCTTTTCCATCGTCCTCCATCTCATCATCGTTCCCAAGCGCCTAACACGGCCAGGGTCCGCAGGGGGTCCGCCGAATTGAATCGCTTCGTTCATTCCGACGGCACATATTGTATCACTGGTGCGATCTGCTTGTGTGCTTGTGGCGGGCGAGGAGGAGGAGGAGGAGGAGGAGGAGGAGGAGGAGGAGGAGGAGGAGGAGGAGGAGGAGGAGGAGGAGGAGGTGGATGAGGCCTCTCGATGGCTTCTTGGGGCATTCTTGGGGCCAAACTGGGTCGTGGACAAGACGCCTCTTTGGGAAGCCTCTTGGGGTCGTCGGCAGCCGTCTTGGGGGCCTCTCTGGGTCGACTTGGGGCCTTCGTGGGGCGCTTCAGGGTCGTCTTGGAGGCCATCTTGGGCGTCTTTGAGATCTCCTGGGCAGTCTTGGGGCCCTCTTGGGGCCTTCTTGGGGCGCTTCAGGGCCGTCTTGGAGGCCATCTTGGGCGTCTTGGAGATCTCCTTGGCAGTCTTGGGGCTCTCTTGGTGCCGTCTTGGGGGCTTCCGGGGCCGTAAGGGAGCCATCTCGAAAGCCTCTTCGGGCCATCTTGGTGGCAGTCTTGGTGGCCTCGGGGGCCGTCTTGGGCCGTCGAAAAGCTTAAAATGAACAACCGCCATAGATCCTTCAAACATGTTAGTCAGCGTAGACCCCAAATAGTGTGTTCGAGCATGCTGTGTGGTGCAATGACTGTGGTCAAGATAATGTTTGTTCGCAATAGGTTGCCAACTCCGCTGCTCGCGCAATCATCCCATCCACCCACCCGCAACTGGGTTTGCAAAACCCATGACGCGGCGATTGCGATGACTGCTTGGCGCTGACTGGCGCATCGCTGCGGCCGCGCTAGCGCGCGCAGGCTCGCGCGCACAGCGGCCAGCTGACCGCTGGGGACCTTCGAGCACGTCTCACAGGCTGTGCTGACGCGCTGGCACTTCAGCGCGAGTCAGTGACTCGGATGGGCGCGGTGTCATAAGCGCGTTTCTTTATTGCTTGGGGCATGACGGGCGTCATGGCCCCCGCCCCCCCTTATGACGTAACGCCCCCCCCCGCCCCCTCCCCCCCTTCAGTGTGCTCTGTGGGCATTGCCGCCGTGCGCATCAGGATCCGCATAGGTGTCCGCATTGGAAGCCGCATCAGAGTCTGGTCGGCATTGGGAATATCATCGGGATCAGCATAGGGATGCGCATGCGCATCCGCATAGGGATCTGCATAGGGATCCGCGTAAGGATCCGCACAGGGATTCGCATAGGGGTTCGCATGGCAATGCGCATGGGCATCCACATAGGTATACGCACCGAGATCCGCACCGGGATCCGCATCGGGATCCGCATAAGCATCCGTATGGGATCCGCGGAGGGATCCGCATAGGGATCCGCCCAGGGATCGGCATATGGATTCGCACATGGACCCGTACTGGGATCCGCATGGGGTTCCGAAATTATGCTTGTGTGTTCCTGGTGAAAACTCTTCCTCCTCCTCCTTCTCCTCCTCCCTCTCCTCCTCTTCCTCCTCCTCCTCCTTCTCCTCCTTCCCCTTTTTTCCTGCTCCCCATCTTCCTCCGCATCGCCATTTTTGGGTCAAGCCATTTCGGCGCCAAGAGGCGGCAGAGGCAGGCCCATGTGGCGGCGGACCTGCGGGCCGCTCAGCAGGCCCGTGTGGCGGCGGCCTGCGGCCGTTGCTCGTTGCCCCTGGTTCTGGCTCGTGCGCACATCGCTGTGGTACACGCAGAAGCGCTACAATTTCCTGCCCTCTCCATTCCTCCCCATTGCTTGCCTTTCTTTTTCACGGGCGCTTGCGGGCGTCGTGGGCTCAAAGTGCAAGAGTGCACGCAGGCCAAGAAAAACAATAATCACACACTATTCACATATAGAATTTGAGAATATCGGCCGCCCTCACGATTTTCTGGCATGTGGTCCCGTCGGGACCCCATAGGGTCCTAGAGGTGCACGCAGGTCTTGTGGAGCGCAAAGGCATTGTGGTGAACTGGTCGTGACTCGTGGACCCTGGTCGTGGCTCGTGCGCGCATGCGCTGTGGTGCACGCGGAAGCGCTACATTTTCCCTACCCCCCCCGTCGTCGTCGTCGTCGTCGTCGTCGTCGTCGTCGTCGTCGTCGTCGTCGTCGTCGTCGTCGTCGTCGTCGTCGTCGTCGTCGTCGTCGTCGTCGTCGTCGTCGTCGTCGTCGTCGTCGTCGTCGTCGTCGTCGTCGTCGTCGTTCGCTCGTCCCTCGTCGCTCGTCGCTCATCGTCGTCGTGCGCGCGGACGCGGCTGTGGTGCCGGAGCCACGCGGCGGGGGGGGAGGCATTGCATCATAACCCCCCCATGACGTCCGTCATCGCCGAGATAAAGTAACGCGCTCCATGGCGATGTCGACAGCGGCAGATACGATGATGATAACCCAATTCCCTGAAAATTATCACCTGGGGTCTGGCGGGGATAATCAACGATTTTTCTGGGGAAGGTGATGTTAGTTATAACTTATGATGATTATGATGATGACGATGATGATGATGGTGATCCTGGGCGCTCGTGTAGACTTGACCTTGTAGATCTTGGCACAATACTGACTCGAGATATCTCGAGGCTCGTGGCTACAATTTGCTTGCGCAAGAGAGATCCTGCATAGGCTCGTGATTGCGGAAGCTGAAATGGCGAGACCACCATGGCCATGCTCAGCGTTCTTGATGCTGTTGCTAGTCAACATGAGATGATAGCAAATTCAATTCGCAACTTCCCCCGGGGATTATTAAGTTCGGCCTCCGCGCCCCTCTCCACGATCAAGTCTTATTGAACCGGGATTTAAGAAATAGAGGGGGTTAAGGGGGGGTAGGCTTTATTATCGGGGGCACTCGGTTAGTAACAGTGCTGGTGGCGACGATGACGATGGCGACGGCAAGGCTGACGACGGCGCTTGCTGATCACGCCAGTGACGATGATTGTGTCCACGTGTCTGTGATGAAGCTTGTGAAATTATTTCGGCGTGCGCGGCCAAAGGGCGCGGCCTGCGTTGAATTATTTGTCACGGGTCGTGCCCCCCTTCAGCACGCGCGCAAGGGCGTTCGACTGGTTCCGACATGCGCGCGCGAGAGGCCATGCTGATAGAATTTCATGAGAATGTTGAGACACCTTTGGGCTTCTAGAGTACTCGCAACAACGCGCGCGCGGACCTTATTTGGACAACCATGGTGCACCACCATGTTTATTTTATTTGTTTCCGGGACATTTTTTGACGGATTTCGGCATGCGCGTGCGACGACGCGCGCGTGTGCACATTTTGTTAGTTTTGCAAGGGGCTCCTGAACGTTGATAGTGTCTGATACACGAGTGCGCGCGCAAAGTACCTCTTCGACGAGGATGAGGGCGGGGGTCGATCGTGGCTGGACTTGGTGTTATGGAAGTATATTAAGAATGACGGATGGGGCGGGATCGTATGCAAGTTGCACATTGCGGTGCAACTATTTTTGAATAGATTTGAGCTGTCGACCCCACTGCTCGTGCAATCATCCCACCTACCCGCCCGCCACTTGGTTTGCAAAGCCCATGCGGCGGAAATCGCGATAACTGCTTGGCGCTGGCTGGGGCATCGCTGCGGCCGCGCTAGCGCGCGCAAGGTCACGCGCGGAGCACTTGGCTAGTCTGGCGCGACCGACGCGGCCGCGGTGGCGCTGACCGCTGGGGGCTTCCAGCGCGTGTCGCAGGCCGCGCTGACGCGCGGGCACTCCAGTGCGAGTCGGTAACCCGGGCGGGCGCGGTATCATGGTGACGTCGGCAGCGGCGGACACGATGATGATAGTAGCGATGCTGGTGACGACGACGAGAATGACGTCGGCAACTCCAATTACGGGGCCAGTGCTGGTCACGCCGATGACGATGATAGTGTTCTTGTGTCGGTGATGGAGGTTTTGGAAACAAATTCGACGTGCGCGCGCGGCTGATTGGCGTGGGTGTCCGCATTGGATAGTTTGAAAGGGACCATTTCTCTCCAGCAATCGCGCTACAGCATTCGAATGCTTCCAACGTTCGCGCGTGAGAGGCCCGCATGGCAGAGTTTTTTGTGTATATGTAGAAGCATCGAAACATAATGCACCTATACAATTACATGTTGCAAGTCCTTTTTTTTGTTTCAATATCTGTGTGGGAACCTCGACCTCCGTTTGAAATCCAATGCTCGTCAAAAATTCTGGCATGCGCGGGCGGCGCCGCGCGCATGTGGACTCTTCGTGTAGGTTTGTTGTTTTTGTTGTTGGTGGCATTGTTGTTTTGAACGGGTTTTTGAACTTGTGTGATTTGCGCTGAACGTGTGCCCTCATCGTATTATTTGACAGGGACGAGAGGGGTTGCTGATACGGGGTCTGGCGGGGTGGCATGAGTTCGTATCTAAAAAGAACGATGTGGCAACATCGAATGTACATTGTTTTATCCTAGGGCGTACGCATACATCCAGGGTGGGTGGGTGGCAGATCCCATTTCGTTTTGGACAGGAGAGCATATGTGGTGTAGTAAGCTGCGTGGTACGATTTATGTCGTGTAAGTCTTGTGGTGCGACCTACGGTGTGCATTGATTTTTACCCATGATTTGTGACATCCCACGCTCTTGCAAACATCCCACCCACCCACCCGCAACTTGGTTTGCAAAACCTCTTCCTACGACGACACCGACGACAACGACTACGACGACACCGACGACGTTTCCGACGACTTCGACGACGACAACGACGCCGACGCCGACGACGAAGACGACAACGACGACGCCAACGAAGACGACGACGACGAGGGAGGAGGAAGGACGACGACGGCGACAACGACGACAACGACGACAACGACGAGGGAGGAGGGAGGACGGCGACGACGCGAACGACGAAAAAGGAGGAAGGACGGCGACGCCGACGACGACAACGACGAGGGAGGAGGGAAGACGACGACGACAACGACGACGACGACGACGACGACGGCGACGAAATAGGAGGGACGACGACGAGACGCCGACGACGGACGACGACGACGACGAAGGAGGAGGAGGAATGACGATCACGGCGACAACGACGACGGAAGCGACCACGACGCCACAGAGGACGACGACGACGAACACGAGGAAAGACAGAGGACGACGTAGGCGACGACGACGACGACGCGGGAGGAGGGAGGACGGCGACGACGACGACGACGACGACGCAAGAGCGCGCGCGCACGCTTTTGTTGAAAATTCGTGTTGCGAAACCTTGTGTTTTTGTAGGTTTTTTGGACACGATTTTGAAATCCTTCCGAAACCGATGGGTTTTGAAGGTTTTCGGCATACGCGCGCGAAAACGCGCGCGTCTGCACTTCGTCCGATTTTTTGCAGAGGATTCTCGCGACGGCACACGCGCAAGAGCGTTCGACAGATTTCGACATGCGCGCGCGAAGCCCGTTTAATAGCAGTTGGTGGAAATCTTGAAAAACCAATGGTTTTCTTAAGATTTCGCAAGAGCTCGCGCGGAAACTTTTTTAGCAAATCAGTGTTGCGAAACCTTGTGTTTTTGTATGTTTGTTGGAAGCTCGATAGCGAAATCCTTCCGGCACCGCAGGTTTTTGAAGGATTTCTGCATGCGCGCGCGACGACGCGCGCGTGTGCACTTCGTCCCTTTTTTTGCAAGGGATTTGTGAAAAATTGTCATGGTAGAACCAAAAAAGTCACCGCATAGTGTTTTTTACAAGGGGAACTCAGGGGTGGGATACCGGCCCCCCTGGGACAGTGTAAGTTCATATTTAGGATGGACATGCTGTTAGAATCATATATGATTTACATACCCGAAAGGGGGAACGATAACGCCGGGGGGGGAGAGTCTATTTTCTTTTTAGAAAGGAGAAAAGTGTCAACTCAACTGCTCGGGCAATCATCCCATCTGCCCACCCGCAATTCGGTTTGCAAGACCCACGCGGCGGCAACTGCGATGGCTGCTCGGTGCTGGCGGGCGCATCGCTGCTGCCGCGCTGGACCGTGCAATTTCGCGCGCGGAACGTCCAGCTAGTCTGGCGCGACCGACGCGGCCGCGGTGGTGGTGACCGCTGGGAATTCCCAGCGCGTGTCGCAGGTCGCGCGGACGCACGGGCAGTTCAGTGCGAATCGGTAATTCGGGCGGGCGCGGTATCATGGTGACGTCGACAGCTGCGGAAACGATGATGATAGTAGCGATGCTGGTGACGACGATGGCAATGACGACGGCAAGGCCCATGACTGCGCCGATGTTGGCCACGCCGGTGACGATGATGGTGCCCACGTGTCGGTGATGAAATTTGTTGACGGATTTCGACATGTGCGCGCGCGCCGCCGACGGGCGCGAGTGGCCCGCATGGTATCGTTCGACAAGGATCGCGCCCCCCTCAGTAAACGTGCAATTGCGTTCGAATGATTTCGACACGCGCGCACGAAAAACCCGTTTGGTCGCATCTGATGCACATGTAGAAAAAAACAGTGGTCGCTTCCAGAGTGCGCATGATCACGCGCGTTTATAATAATTACCGTGTTGCAGGATCATTTGTTTTCGTGTAGAAATGTTTTCGGAACGCTCGGTTGTAAAACCCCCACGAAACCAACGGTTTTGACGGATTCTGGCATGCGCGCGCGACGATGCGCGCGTGTGAGCTCACTTGTTGTTGTTGTTGAACATTATTTATTCTAAAGAATAATTATTGTTGGGCCCCCTGGTGCGCGCCCCCCCTGCGCCGCCTAGGCCGCAGCTACATTTTCATCATTTTCGTGAGGAAGCCTCAGAAAAGAGGGTGTGTACAGGATCCGGTTGTTTTGTTGTAATCCGCTTTCCCTTGCAAAAAACAATAGAAAATGACATTTCTTGTTCTAATATAATCAAATTTCAAGAATCCCTTGCAAAAAATAAGGTAAAGTGGACATTCGCGCGCGCAAGACGAAATCCTTCCAAAACCTTAGTGTTCGCAGCGATTTTAACATAAAAACATCAAAAAACCAATGGTTTTTCAACAAAAAATGTCAAAATCTCATCCCGCGCGCTCTTGCGGATTCGTAGGAAACCCAACACTTTTTAAACATTTCTGTCAAACGGGCTTTTGCGAGCAACTTTTTCGAACTTCTGCGACAACGGTTGCGCACCTGCCAGGGCCATCATCCCTGTCAAATAATACCATGCGGGACACATTCGTTTTTTCTTCGCGCGCGCACGCCGAAATCTCCAAAAACCATTGGGCTTCTTAAGAATTTTAGCACCGCGCATCATAAAATCACACGAATCGCACCGTAGGTCCTCGAAAAACACCTGCACGACTTTTCAAAATTTCTACAACCATCAGGACAACCATCGGGACAACCATCGAGACAACCATCGGGACAACCATATCCTCTCTCTCTTGTGTATTCCCACATCCCTCAGGAATTTGCCCTAAAGATGTGATCAACTATCTTGTGAGTACGTATCATGTGTATCATGTGTATCATGTACCATATGCATCATATGCAACAGATGTTCTGTGGAAGGCTTAACAACTTCTGTGGGTTAACAAGGCTTAACAACTTCTGTGGGTGTACGAACGTAGGCTTAACAACTTCTGTGGGTGTGTACTCCACGCCAGTGTAGTAGCCACGGTCGTCCGCAGGCCACGAAGTGAAGTGTCCGAACGTCATAGGGCGGGAAGCTGGGTGTGGGTGGTGGCGAAGAGTCGTGTGGATATTTGGTAGAGCTTGCATTGCCCCCCCACAAAGTGGGGGTATTGGCTGGCGTCGCATGAAAACCCTGGCACTGGTGAGAACACTGAGCGTTCGGGTAAAGTGATTTTTTTTTTTTTTTTTTTTTTTTTTTTTTTTTTTTTTTTTTTTTTTTTTTTTTTTTTTTTTTTTTTTTTTTTTTTTTTTTACAAGGGGTTAATGCAACTTGCGGAGTTTTGATCAACGGGTGTGCGCGCATCTTTTCGCAATGGGCGCGGGGAGATTGCCAGCGTGGTTGGGATGGTATGGGTTTATGTGGAAACAACGATGTGGCAAAACCACATGTAAATTGCACATCCCCAGGGGAGGCGGATAACATGTGGGGTGAGGGTAAATCTTGATCTTCAAGTCAAAATGGATGGTGCAAGCTTGCAGGTTATGCTGTGAATCTATGTGGCGCGGCGACGAGGCTGCTGCGACGGGCGGCGACGAGCGGTGACGGGGCTACGACGGGGCGACCACAAGCTGGCGAGGGCGGCAGACTAGTGCAGTTGCGGCGGCGACGGGCGGCGACGAGGCGGCAACGGGTGGCGACGAGCGGTGACAGGGCGGCGATGGGGCGACAACAAGCCGGCCGGGGCGGCAGACCAATGCAGTTGCAGCGGCGACGGGCGGCGACGAGGCGGCGACAGGCAGCGACAAGAGGCGTCGGGGCGACGACGGGGCGACCACAAAGCCAGCCTGGGCGGCAGACCAGCCCAGTTCTTTGCACGACAATTAAGATAATTACCCCAAATGCAGGCACTGTTCGGGGAACTCAGTGATTTTGGCACCTTCGGGCCTCATGGACCGTCTTTGGCGGTCCTTCGGCCATCTTGCGCTGTCTTGGAGGCATCTCGGCACGTCTTGGAAATATCTTGAAGCCATTTTGGGCTGTCTTGGTGCCATCGTAGCCGTTTTGGGTACCATCTCGGTCGTCTTGGAGGCCATCTTGGGGCCGTCTGGAGCGGGAAGGCCGGCGACCCGGGAAGTTTCTGGGCCCTCATGGGGTGGAAAGCCGATGGGAGGTCTCTTTTCCGCAGGGTCGGCGCATTAGGCCGAATGCCCCGAAAGGACCAGAATTCAAGACAGATTGGCATGCCGTGCACCCCTATGGCAAGCCACGGGGGGTGGCGGATCGAAGACGCCGACGGCGAATCAACGCCACCCCTTGTATTTTTGAAGCGCCTATGTGGCCCAACGTTGTGGCCATGGCTTGGCCAATCTATCGGGCTATCTGTTCCCCAGCCTTTGTGGAAACTCGTCGGGGAACACGTGGGGGAGACATGGTTGTGATCATGCGTGCTCGTGTATTCTTGCGCGCAATTTTTTTGGGTTGGGCGGCGAACCAGGGCGCTGTTTGATTAGGCGTACTTTGGCGTCCAACAGGGGTGCGGCCCCCAACCTCCGACGTCTCGAACCATACAATATCGTCCAGCGAACACGATTCGAACAGTGCACCATTTTTGTACGTCGCTTTTTTCGGGCTGGATGGATCCGTGAGGGCCCCTGGGCTCCAAGCTGGGCAGAGACGTTCGTTGCCCTGGTCTCGCGGCGTCAAGAGTGGTTTGGGGCGAGAGGCGGAGGCGACACGGCGAGAGGGGGGGGGACCACGGTAGGCACACTGCAGGTCTTCTGCTTTAGGCCATTCCTTTACCGTACGAGCCTGCCTGACAAAGTCGGCTTCTTTTTTTGGCACCGGATGAACGCTACAGCTTCGATGCTCCAGTCCGCCCAACGGAACCACGGCAGGCTTCGGATCCAACTCAGCCCAGCAAGGGTCGCCCGCCAATCGCCGCGCCCTCCCCGGCAGGACCCCCCAGTCGCGCACAGTCGACAGGTTGTCGTCGCGCCCAGCGGCTGCGCCAGGCGACGCTAGCGCCAGGGGCGGGCTCTGGGGAAGGCGGGGGCATGGAAGGGAGACTCGGCGACCGCCTGCCACTATCCGCAGGGTGGCTGTGTTCTCGCAGGCAGATGTTGGCAAGAGCAGCCCCTCCCCGCGACGTCGACGGGATCCGCTCGGTCGGCCACTGGCTGCTCATCTGCCCTAGGAGGGGCTGCCAGCAAGTAACTAGGGAAGGGCAAAGGGGGCTGGAGGGAAGAGGAGAAACGAGGGCTGAGGGGGAGGAGGTATGGGGGAGCCCGAGCGGGGAAGAGAGAGAATGACGGGGACAGGGGGATGTGGGAGGGCACAGGAAGAGGGAACCAGTAACGTGCTGCACTCCGCTCTTGCTCCGGCCCGCTTCAACCCTTTTCTGCAGCCAGCGTCCTTTCTTCCCTTCCCTTCTTCCATCTTGCAGTGCCTTGTCCGCGGCTCCGTCGCCTGTCGTCGTCGCCGTCGTCGTCGCCGTCGTCGTCGCCGTCGCCGCGTTCGTCGCCGCCGTCGCCTTCGTCGCCGCTGCCGACATCGCCGTTGCCGTCGGCAGCGCCGCCGCTGTCGTCGTCGCATGTCGTCGCCGTCAACATCGACGTGGTCGTCGCCGCCACTATGGCCGCCATTGCCGCCGCCGCCGTAGCCGTCGTCATCGTCATCGTCGTCGTCAGTGTCGCCGCCGCCCCCGTCGTCGTCGCCTGTCGTCGCCGTCGACATCGACGTGGCCGTCGCCGCCGCCATGGCCGCCGCCGCTGCCGCCGCCGCCGTCGTCGTCGACGTTGTCGTCGTCGTCATCGTTCGTCGTCTTCGTCGACGTTGCCGTCGTCGCCGTCGTCGTTGTCGTCGTCGTCATCGTCGTCGTCGTCGTCGTCGTCTTCGTCTTCGTCGTCGTCATCGTCGTCTTCGTCGTCGTCGCCGTCGTCGTCGTCGTCATCGCCGTGTCACCGTTGTCGTGGCCGTCGCCGTCGCGCTGCCATGTGGCCCTGGTGTCCGCTCCCGCAGGCTGGACTCTGGGCTGAAGGGCTGTCAGTTCACCGGCCTGGCTCCCGGGACGCTGTTCGAGGCTCCACGAGGGAGGGATGAGGGTGTCTCAGATCCGAGCGTCAATGAAAATACGGCGGGTGGGGGGGGGGGCGTTCGTTAAGGAATGTGCTCAGGAGGCTTCAGACCCTGGAGGATTCCGTATCCGATGAGGGCGGAGGTTTTATCCACGACCAAGCTTCGCTTGAGTTCACCAGCTTTCAGGCCCTGGATTCCTTATCTCATGGTTCCTTATCCGATGCCCTCACCTAAGTGGCGGCCAGTTTTCTGTTTCTCTGTTGCTGTCTTACGTATTTGGCTCATGGGTTGTGAAAATGCGACTCAGGATGGAAAGCTGGCCTCGGGGAGGGTCAAGATCCCCAGGGGCCCACGTCACGAGCACAACGCACCGTCGGAGGAAAGGGAAGGGCCCTTCCCCTCCTCGTCCTGATCTTTGGGCCTCTTCGGGGGGGGCCCTCGTGGCCACGGCTGGATGCAGCTCGAAGAACGGATCAGGGCGGCGCCTTCGAGGCGTCTGGGGGCCGATCTAGTGAGCGAGGACGCGGACCCAGGCTTCAAGGCATCGCGAAAACCAGGCACGGCGTGTTTTTTTTTTTTTTTTTTTTTGTTTTTTTTTTTTTTGTCTTTCTCTTACCTCTCCCTATCTCCCATATCTCTTCTTCGTTCTCTCTTCTCTTCCATCTCTCTCTCTCTCTCTTTCTTTGTCTGACTGCGTATATATAATGTATATACATATTCCTCTTTCTATATTTGTATAAGCCCGGGCGGGGGGAAAACCCATCACCCCCTCCCTAAAACTGGACCCCCGGGATCTGCAGCTTTGGGACCCTCCGGACGGGCCTCGAAGCGGCCGCCTGGGCCTTGCAGGGCGTTTTGCCAAGCCTTCGCAGCACACCCAGGGTGATCAGGGGGGTCACCAGAGACGTCCCAGAGACCAGCACAAGAGCGCTCCAAGAAGCCGTCATACCCCGAAAGATCGCTCCAAAACGTACCAAGAGGCCTCCAAGACTCCAAGAGCACCCCCAAGAAGGCCCCAAGAGGGAAAAATCATCGATTCTATATAGGTTTTTGGTGAATTTGGGGTTCTCCTCTTTTCGGCTTCCCGACGCTCCAAGACGGCGGTCTCCTAGGCGTCCGAAGCCGCCTGGGAGGCTCCAAAATCGCCCCACAACCATCCGAAAGGGCTTCCAGGCAGTCCACGAGAGCCCCAAAACGGCACAACAGGGGTCCAAAATGGCCCTAAGAGAGCACCATGGCGGCCCAAGATGGCCCCAAGACACCCTTCGAATCATTCCAAATCGTGACTGGGGCGTTTAGGGAGACCGCGATTAGAGGCAGGTTGGCCTTAGGAAGCCCCAGAGGCCCCCAGAACACACCCAGGAGGCATCCAGAAGGCTTTAAGAAAGCCTGAGAACTTTGGTGAGGCCCCCAGAGGCTCTCCAAGGAGGAGCCTCCGCAAAAAGAGCTGAGGAGGATGGGGAGAATGCCCAGGGTATGGCGAGAATGAGGACAAATAAGCATGGAGGAAGGACAACGAACAACATTATTATAACGGCGATGCCAGAAAAGGCAGCAAGGAGTTATCGCTAAATTGTCGGCTTGACCTTCCTGCCATTTCCGCGTGCATACCAAAGTCCAAGGACCAAGGTGCATGGAGCGCCACTATATATATATATATATATATATATATATATATATCTCTCTCTCTCTTTCTTCCCCATTTTTCCACAGCATTTTTCCCTAACCAGTGCTTGCACTTAGGGGTTCTTACTTTTGTATTTCTGTTCTATGGAGCTGGGCCGTGTCTTCGGCCTTGCGGCTTTGTAGCCGCCGTCGCCGCCCCGCCGCCGCTTCGCCCTGTATTGAACAACATAGATTGCACCGCGTATTTTGCACCACACAGATTGCACCGCATATATTCTCCTTTCTAAAAAGAGAACAGACTCTACCCCCCCCGGACTTATCAGCTCCCCCTGGGATAGTATGATTTCACATATATTCTGGGCACTCGTTCATCCTAGATATGAAGTCATATCATCCCAGCCAGGCAGGGTTCCCCCCCCTGAGGTTCCCTTGTGCGAAACACTATGCGGTGACATTTTTTGCTCTAACGTAGCACTTGTTCACGAATCCCTTGCAACAAATGGGACGAAGTGCACACGCGCGCGTCGTCGCGCGCGCATGCCGAAATCCTGCAAAAACCTTCGGTGCCGGAAGGCTTTCGCAATCGAGGTTCCCAAAAACATGCAAAAACATATGGTTTCGCAACACTGATTTGCTAAGAAAGCTTCCGCGCGAGCTCTTGCGAGATCTTAAGAAAACCATGGGTTTTTCAAGATTTTCACAAAATGCTACCAAGCGGGCTTCGCGCGCGCATGTCGAAATCTGTCGAACGCCCTTGCGCGTGTGCCGTCGCGAGAATCCTCTGCAAAAAACGGGACGAAGTGCAGACGCGCGCGTCGTCGCGGGCGTATGCCGAAAACCTTCAAAACCCATCGGTTTCGGAAGGATTTCAAAATCGTGCGTCCAAAAAACCTACAAAAACCCAAGGTTTCGCAACACGGATTTTCAACAAAAGCGTGTGCGCGCGCGCTCTTGCGTCGTCGTCGTCGTCGTCGTCGTCGTCGTCGTCGCCGTCCTCCCTCCTCTCGCGTCGTCGTCGTCGTCGTCGCCTACGTCGTCCTCTGTCTTTTCTCGTGTTCGTCGTCGTCGTCCTCTTTGGCGTCGTGGTCGTTTCCGTCGTCGTTGTCGCCGTGGTCGTCCTTCCTCCTCCTCCGTCGTCGTCGTCGTCGTCGTCGTCCGTCGTCGGCGTCTCGTCGTTTCGTCGCCGTCGTCGTCGTCGTCGTCGTCGTCGTCGTCGTCTTCCCTCCTCCCTCGTCGTTGTCGTCGTCGGCGTCGCCGTCCTTCCTCCTTCGTCGTCGTTCGCGTCGTCGCCGTCCTCCCTCCTCCCTCGTCGTTGTCGTCGTTGTCGCCGTCGTCGTCCTCCCTCCTTCCTCGTTGTCTTCGTTGGCGACGTCGTCGTTGTCTTCGTCGTCGTCGTCGGCGTCGGCGTCGTTGTCGTCTTCGTCGTCGTCGACGTCGGCGTCGTTGTCGTCGCCGCCGTCGTCGTCGTCGTCGTCGTCGTCGTCGTCGTCGTCGTCGTGGTCGTCGGCGTCGTTGACGTCGTCGTCGTCGTCGGTGTCGTCGTTATCGTTGTCGTCGGCGTCGTCATCGTCGTCGTCGTTGTCATCGTCGTCGTCGTCGGCGTCGGTGTCGTCGTCGTCGTCGTCGTCGTCGTCGGTGTCGTCGTCGTCGTCGTTGTCGGCGTCGTCGAAGGCGTTGGAGACGTCGTCGGTGTCGTCGTAGTCGTTGTCGGCGGCGTCGTCATCGTCGTTGTCGCTGTCGTCGTCGGCGTCGCTGTTGTTGCCAAGTGCCATGTGATACACACCGTCACGGTCTTAAGAGATTTTGCAAACCAAGTTGCGGTGGGTGGGTGGGATGTTTGCGCGAGCAGTGGAGTGGACAACTCACTGCGAACAGAAATTATTTGCACGTCATAGAGTGCACCATGTAGCTTTCAAAACACGGTTTGCGTCGCATAGAATGGACCACATGAACTGCACAATATATATATATATATATATATATATATATAGATATATTTATGTATTGCGCCGCGTAGAGTGCACAACATGTATTGCTCCACATCGATGGTACCATATATACATATCTATACATTCAAGCATATACACATACTGCACCGTATAGTTCACAACATAGATTTTCCTTTCTAAAAAGAGAATAGACTCTACCCCCCCGGACTTATCGCTTCCCCCTGGGATAGTATAATTTCATATATATTCTGCACAGGCGTCCATCCTAAATATGAAATCATATCATCCCAGCCAGGCAGGGTTCCCCCCCCTGAGGTTCCCTTTTTTTTAAAAAACACTATGCGGTGACATTTTTGCTCTAGCATACCACTTTTTCGCGAATCCCTTGCAAACAATGGGACGAAGTGCACGCGCGCGTCGTCGCGCGCGCATGCCGAAATCCTTCAAAAACCTTCGGTGCCGGAAGGATTTCGCAATCGAGCTTCCCAAAAGCATGCAAACACATGGTTTCGCAACACTGATTTGCTAAGAAAGCTTCCGCGCGAGCTCTTGCGAAATCTTAAGAAAACCATAGGTTTTTCAAGATTTTCACAAAATGCTACCAAGCGGGCTTCGCGCGCGCATGTCGAAATCTGTCGAACGCCCTTGCGCGTGTGCCGTCGCGAGAATCCTCTGCAAAAAATGAGACGAAGTGCAGACGCGCGCGTCGTCGTGGGCGTATGCCGAAAACCTTCAAAACCCATAGGTTTCGGAAGGATTTCAAAATCGTGCGTCCAAAAGACCTACAAAAACCCAAGGTTTCGCAACACGGATTTTCAACAAAAGCGTGTGCGCGCGCGCTCTTGCGTCGTCGTCGTCGTCGTCGTCGTCCTCCCTCCTCTCGCGTTGTCGTCGTCGTCGTCGTCGCCTACGTCGTCCTCTGTCTTTTCTCGTGTTCGTCGTCGTCGTCCTCTTTGGCGTCGTGGTCGTTTCCGTCGTCGTTGTCGCCGTGGTCGTCCTTCCTCCTCCTCCCTCGTCGTCGTCGTCGTCCGTCGTCGGCGTCTCGTCGTCGTCCCTCCTATTTCGTCGCCGTCGTCGTCGTCGTTGTCGTCGTCGTCTTCCCTCCTCCCTCGTCGTTGTCGTCGTCGGCGTCGCCGTCTTTCCTCCTTCGTCGTCGTTCGCGTCGTCGCCGTCCTCCCTCCTCCCTCGTCGTTGTCGTCGTTGTCGTCGTTGTCGCCGTCGTCGTCCTTCCTCCTCCCTCGTCGTCGCCTTCGTTGGCGTCGTCGTCGTCGTCTTCGTCGTCGTCGTCGGCGTCGGCGTCGTTGTCGTCGTCGAAGTCGTTGGAGGCGTCGTCGGTGACGTCCTAGTCGTTGTCGTCGGTGTCGTCCTAGTCGGTCTTAACAGGTTTTGCAAACCAAGTTGCTGGTGGGTGGGTGGGATGTTTGCGCGA